CCAGTGTCACCAAGGTGACGACCTTCCGTGTTCTGGAAGACTTACTTAAAGTCTAAGCCTCCCTTTCACGATGAAATGGGGGAATCATAAGATCACTTGATAGGCCAATTGTGAGGATGAAATGAGCTAAGGCAAGCAAAATGCTTAGCTCAGTCCTTGACCTATAGAAAGTGCTCAATAAATTATTCTGAGTCTTATATGCCGGAGTCAATTTTCTGTTTTCTTTTGTCTTTGCTATCATTTACTATATTGCTCAGAATTCTGGCTGCAAACAAATTGTTTACTCAAAAGGAGTCATGAAGGAGTCTCAGAACGCGTTGTTTCCAGTGTACGTGTGGGACACAGGGAGCCTGAGAAGGAAGAGCTGGACAGGCTGGTCATCAGTCACAATCTGCCTGAAGAAGCAAGAGGCAGATCCCAGAAACTGCAGGCTCCGCAGAGGGAGGAGAACCTGGCCATGGCAGCGGTGGCCGCAGAGAGAGGACGCAGTCCCCGCCCCGCCATGTTGTGACCCGGGAGGAGGCAGGGCACTGAACTGGACGCTCACTGCTCTACCCTCTCATTTCCCGCAGATGCCTCCCAAAGGCCCAGTCCGAGCTGAAGCCAGAAGCTGGAGAAGCGCAGCTGACACATTCCCTAGAATCAGTGCCCTCCCAGGACAGAGAATAGCGCTCAGCGTGGGAGAGCAGATCCCGAGGCTCCCAAGCCGCTGAGCAGTGTGCCGGCTTGAAGTACTTCACCCGAAATACCTGGAGCTGACTTACCGCGTTTCCGCTTCCTTCAGTGCTTCTACCTGTTGTGGGGTCTGTTACCCTTGTTCAGGGTGTGTGTGCACATGGCTTCTGGCTGCGAGTCCAGAGGCAGGAAGGCATCATGATAATAAAAAATGAGCACAAGAGGGGCCTCCCTAGTGGCGCAGGGGTTAAAGACAGCGCTATCAAGCTATCACCAGCCACCGCAGCACAAGTTCAATACCCGCCCAGTCAGGGAGCAACCCACGTGGTGCCCCAGGCCTCTCCTGTCTCGCCCGCTGCTCTACTCAGTAGTGTGTTTCAGTAGATCTGCCTGTTCTGCTCCCCACTCTCTCTGGTGAATCCTCTCACCCCCCCACACCTCTGGCTTATATCCCAGTTCTTGTATGCACAAATAAATCTTTTTTAAAAAATGAGCACAAGATCTGGGGGTGCCTACCCTGAATTTCATACTATGGCTCTCCCACTCACTAACCAGCAAACTAAACCCAGCTATAAGCCCTTTCAGAATCAAGCTCCCTAACCCACATCACAGGAGGGAAGTGGTTGTTCCCACAGGTTGGTGGCAGACATTAGAGGAGACGATGAGCGTGCCCTATGCCCTTGCAGCTCCATGGAAGCTGAAGGCAGGAGAGCACAGATTCTGAGATGGACTGCAAGTTCATATCCCAGCTCTGCCATCTTAAAACCCCATAACCTTGGGCCAATTACTAACCTTTTAGCTGCTGGGGTTTATTCATTCACAAAGTACAGGAAAATGTCCCCACTACATAAAGATGTTGTGAGAATCAGATGTACTATCACCTCGGAAAGAATTAGAACAGGGTGGCACCTACCAGCATCTTGTTATTAACAAAATGCCAAGCTGCAGATTGCATTCTCAATAGTCAATCAACTCCGTTCTTCCCTGCCTGCAAGACAAGTACAGGGAAGGCCAGCACCGGCAGTGTGCACAGTGCCACCCTGCACTTCATTCTCAGGGAGGGCTGGGATTCCTTCCTTTACCCCACCAGGGAATACACAGCAGAAGCAAGTGCTGAGGGCACCCGAACAGGAACAATGTACCAGGCAGCATTCACCAGTGGTGCTGCTCTGTCCTCGGGGAAATGAAAGTCACTACAGAAGCCCCAGTCCCACACTTCTGCTCAAAAAAGTACCTGGACTTAGTTCAGGACTGCATAGCATGCTCGTCGAGATCATAATCTAAGGAGCCAGGTTCTCCATAGCTGCATGACCTTGACCTAATTAACACATCTGTGTGTCAGTTTCCTCACATGTTGAAAAGGGACTGCGGTAGCACCCACCTCACTGGGCTATTATGAGGATGAAATTACTTAATATTTGACAATGCTTAGACTTGTGCCAGGCACACAGTATGCCCTTTATAAATATCCATAGATAGAGTCACCTCAGTTCCATGCACAAATTTTGACCAATCAGTTTCCTCAGTGTTCTTTACTGGTCTGACACACTGTTCTCCTCTGGGAACTGAAAGGAAATGGAAACTGTATTTTACTGTCCAGGAAAAAGATAGAGAATGCTTAAGTCAGCAAAATCCAGAGGCCCAGGCATAGACACACGTCACCGGGAAATACTGGTCTGTGCTCTGTAGCTTGCACATGCTTCATTTTGTGTCTCGAGGACAAAACACAGCCCTGCAATGACTTTCTGGTTTCCAACAGCATTAGCAAACTAGAAATGAAAGTCTCTCGCCTGCCCTTCCTTGCTTGTATGTATGATTGGTCAAGTGAGGTCACCTTCTCCCAGACTTCCATTCTGTCAGCTATGAAATGGGGATAATAATTCCCACCTCAATTATTGCTACAGGCACCCACCAGTGACTCAGTAAATGGAAGGCGGTTCCCTCTTACATTTCGTATTTGAATGTTCTACAAACCAAGTGGCTACAGGATTTGTCTGTTGTTGTAACTGAACAAAGCACAAGGCTGCTCCTTGTCTCTGCAGAAGGAACTCTGCTCTTTGGCTGTGAAGAAAAGAAGGACTGGTGCCTCAAAGGCGTAAGGCAAGAACATAGACTTTGCAAGCCAACTTCTCAATTCCCAGGTGTGCAATAGCTTTTAGCAAGTGACTTAACCTTCCTTTTTTTAAGCATTAATTTTTTTTTAATTTTTGAAGATTCAAGACCACTGACTTAACTTTTCTGAGCCCCAATTCTCTCAGTTGTAAATGCCTCCCTTGTAGACATCCTGAGCCAGATTAATTAATATTATGTATATAAATTCCCTGGCACACAGTAGGGCTTAGTAAATGATGGCTGTCACAGCAAGTTCACGTCTTCCTTGAGAAAAAATTGGACTTTTCATCAAATCAAACAGACTGTAGGATGTGGATAAAAAATATTCACAGAAATTGCTTCTTTCATTGATAATTTGTTTTCTAGAGTTCCTGATGTATGCGGAGGAAGAGAACATTGTACTGCAATGAAATAACGCCACTTCTGCTGAAGAAGCTGTTCAGTTTTAATGACGTGGGGACAATTTACTTGAAGTAAAGTCCAACAGATGCTCAGTGCCGGGGAAGTCGCCTCGAAACCAGGCTTTACAATTAGCTGCAGCTCTGACTTGTGCAGGGAGCAGTTGCTGTTAGTCGTTGAACAGTTCCTCCAAGATGTCAAGTTTGCTCTTAGAACAGGCCCCTCAAATGAGTCTAAGAGCCCTTAAGACAAATGAATCTCTGATGAAAGGACCATTTTGCATTTGCATCTTTGCCTTGCCTGAAACAGCTGCCCGTCCTCTTACAAATAGTTGTATTTTATTCTTCCTCCCAACCCCCCAAATCCTGGCCTCCTACAGGGCTTCTTCATCTCCCTGTGCAGCTTCTCCATTTTCCAGGAACCTGGCTGCCTCCCCCACAGAGGCCCTGGCAGTTCTTCCTCTTTGCTTACCCTCCCTAATAGCTCCACATCGCCAACTCCCTTCCCCCTCTGTCTTCTTGCGGGCCCCCTGTCCCCTGGTCTCTGGCTTGCCCGTCACGTGGCCTGCACCCACGCTCACCTTCACAAAGGCAGGCCTGGTCCTGCCTCCATTGCTGCAGGCCCTGATGAAGGCCACGTCCTTTCTGCTGCCAGCAAGGCGTGTGGCTGATGTGTCCCTGCTGGTCTCCTCTGAGATAGCCCTCCAGCCACACAGATCTGGGGGCACAGGGGACGGTGCCATGGGTTCATCGAGGGCACCCCATGACCTATGATGACTCCCTGTGCTCCAAGCATCAAAGCTGAGCATTCCTCTGGCACTGACTTCTTGGCCATCCTGCCCTGTCCCCTTCTTTGCCCTTAGAGCCCACCAGATCCTCCGGGTCTGGTCTCTCTCTGCTGGGGCTGCAAAAGTGGTAGAGTTTCAAGCTCTGGCCCCCCTGCCTGGACTTCATGGTGATGAAGAGTCAACTCTCCTTCCACAACCTCAGCCCAGCAAGCCATCACAGGTGCACATAAACACACACCCCCCACACACATACACAGAGGCATGTGTGCACATATATCCACACATGCATGCATGCAAATGCATGTACTCACAAGCCACAGACACATGTGAGCATGTACACACACAGGCACACACAGACATGCACCCGCTGCTCCCCAGCCATAGCAACTAAGCCAGCGCCTGGACTGGCATCCATAAACCGGGGTGCGCAGTGACACAGCAGCCGTTTCTGAGCACAAAGGAAAACGCTCATCTCTAACTCGTAACTTCTGTGTTCTTTCTCTTTGGAATTCCTCTCTTGAGTGGGTCAGTGTTCACCGAGTGTATGTCATGTGTCAGTTACCATTTCAGCCTCTAAAGCATAGAGTTCAGCGGAGGCAACAAATCTGTCACAGCCTAGCCCCGTGACCTCCTCGTGGCCTATTTCCATTATCTGTTATCTTTTAAATGAAAATACATCACCTTAACACTCTTATTAGGGAATGAAATAGCCAAGTGCTGACTTTGCAAGATTGATACACGTTATAATGAAACAATACAAGAAAGTACTTCAGTTTCCAGATAATATAGGTCTTCAGCAAATGATAATTTTGTAATATTATTATGATTATTATTATTATTCTGTGAACAAAGGAATGCAGAATTGCAGATGTGACAAGTTGTCTAAAGGGTGAAGAGCAGGCGCAGTGATAAAGACCATGGAAGGGTCTTTGCTCAGAGCCCCCTGGGAGGTCTCAGCCGTGAGGGTCAGCGGGGTGGAGGAAGGCAGGAAGCCTTGACTCCGCAAGCGGAATCGAACAGAACTGACCTAAGGCTCCAGGTGGGCAGGTCTGGGTCGGAGGCTTCCATGCAGCTCTCTGTGAGAGTCCTTGGCACCTCCTGGAGGCTCCATTTCGCATCTGCAAATGAAATCACAGCATCAGTAAGAAAGAGAACAAAGACGGCAGCTATGGCAGAGACAATAAGGCAGGAGGTCACGCGTAAGTCACCAAACAGAAAGGCTCTTGCACAGCACGTATTTAACAAAGGCTGGGCTGTCCCTGCTCCCCGCTGCCAAGCATCCCCCAAAATGAGTGATGGCCTCCGGGGATCACTCCCTCAGCGGGTTGTCCAAGCAGGGGAGCTCCAGGCCTGGGCTCACCACAGTAGAATAGCAGGGGCTCTAACCTGGCCCCTCTTCAGGAATTCTCTCTTTATTCCTCACAGTCTCCCCCTCGAGGGGATTCTATGGCTTCCCCCCATTTTACTGGGGAAAGGAGCCAAGGACGCGGCAGCCAGCCCAGAAGCAAGTTCTTTTCCAGGCCCCGCGTCAAGCATGGACTTCCTTCTGGGGGCGCGTTGTGGAGAGCAACCTCCTGTGCTCTCCACCCGCCTCCACCTATCAGGCTAAACCGTGCCCTGGGTTAGTGCTGGCCTCTTTCAGGAAAGTTCTGGATTGCTCCCGTCACCGGGCTCTGCACCGACCTGAACCATCACCAGGGCCCTCCCACTCTGTCCTGCATGCCTCCGTGTCAGCTGGTGATGGGCTGACATTTCCAAGGCCCCGGAACACCACCTCCCTCCCCTGCACAGATCCAGGACCTCGGCAATCCCAGCAACAGGAGAGGAAAACCGCGCCAGTGATCCCGACACGACTGACCTGCACAGCCCCTCAGGGCTGGACGTCACGCCTGAACAGCCTCAGCATTAACACAGCCCGTTCCCGAGGAAGCCAAGTTTTTTGCAATAAGAATTAAAGCACATTTCTGGAAGCTGGGGCGATGGGGAGAGGCCAGAATGTCGGAATTATTAGGACTGGTTTGGGAGGGGGCAGTAGATGAAATTACTTTGCTGTGCAGAATCTACCAAAGGACATGATCATCCCTTTCTCACAGATAAAGAAATTGAGGCCAAAGGTCATTCAGCTCCTAAGCTGCTGGAGGCATAAGCTGAGTGGGGAGCTGTTTCCCTCTGGAAATTATCACCCTGTGTTTTTCTATCTTATCTTGCCAGGTCTGCTGTGAACCTCCCTGTCTCTGTAAGAGTCTTTTGAGCTTGGTTTCCACTCGACTGTGACTTCTCCTCTTATGCCAGAGCCCCTGCGCCCTTGAGGTTCTCCTCCCTCAGTCCTCTGGAAAGAAAGCTGCAAGATAGCTTGGGGGTTCCCTGTTTGTGTTCCAGAACCCAGGACACCCACATTGTCCTGCCCTTGGCCCTCACCCTGAAAAGAGCATCCTGCTCCCTAGCCCGCACCAGGCCCCTCGCCCCTGCCCTGCTCCTCACATTCACACCACAGACACCACCGTGAGGGCCGCCGCTCCGGAGAGAGGTGCCCTCTCTGGGCTCAGAGCCAGGGGGAACCTGCCCTCTCCCCCTGGACCAGGCCTCCAGGAGGCCAGAGGCTGTGGGTGCGCGGGCGAGGTGAGCTGGGGAGAGAATGAGACTCCCCGCTGACCCCTCCAGTGTGAGCAAGTCTTTCCACCTAGTTGGTAACTCGCACCTCTCCCTAGGTGTCAGCCTGTACCCCTGAATCATGTGCCATGCTGCAAACCAATGTTACCAGGGAAATGTGACAAAAACATAGTGATGTGTGCTCCCCAAGCCACCTGCATGTGCCCTAGCCAACAAATTTATCCTGGGCGATTTGTTCTGAGATGCTGTAGTTCCAAACACAAAAGGAAAAGAAAGCTGGTGGTGGGTAAGCAGCTTCAGCATTTAGGGGAAAAAAATGCCTAGGGCCTCCCTGGTGGCGCAGTTAAAGGGTTAAGTCTCAGCGCTAGCAAGCTATCACCAGCCACTGCGGCGGGAGTTCAATCCCCAGCTGGCCAGGGAGCTACCCACATGGCGCAGCAGACCTCTCCTGTTTCCCCGCTGCTCCCCTCAGCAGTGGATTTCTGTGGATCCGCCTGTTCTGCTCCCCACTCTGTCTCTGGTGGGTCCTCTCACCCCCTGCACCTCTGGCCTCTACCTCAGTTCTTGGATGCATGAATAAATAAAATGTAAAAAACAAAACAAAACACCTGTAGCTGATTTAGAGAAACTCTAAGGAGGTAGAGGTGGGAAGGGTTGAAATACAGGGCATTCCTTCCTGTACGCACGAGAAGCATTGAGTTTAAGGATTTTAGCAGATAAAAGTGTGAAAAAGAGTGTTAAATTATTTAATAGCTCATTATATCTCGGGTCTAGAAAGCTAGTGATCTTGAAAAAAATCCACATCCGTTTCAACAAAATTGAAATGTGCATGCACCCAAAGAGTTTGTGTGTGTTTCTGTCACGTAACCGGCATTCAGGAGAGGCAGGTGAGTCTCCACCTTGGTATGACAAGAACACAGTCGCTGGTTCATGCACTGACCCATTCGTCTGCGCCAGGTGCTGGGCGGGGACAGCAGGGGGATGGCTGTGACCTCACTGGGGTTGGTGGCCGCTCCTCCCCTGGGGGGGCAGGGTAAAAGTTCTCACTCGCTGGAGCATCAACGGAAATAACAAAGGGCCAGACATGCTTGGAGTAGAGGCAGTGCCTCCCCCAGGGCCCCCCCCCCCAGCCTGCATCTGTGCTTGGGGAAGTGACAGGCGAGAGGAAAGCTTTGGCCTAGTCCCTGCAGATGGAGGTGGAGGCCAGGTTGGTGATGAGGGAGAACTCATGAGCCCCGGGCTCCCCCCTCTCTCCCCGGTCAGCGCATCATCACAGCATGGAGTATGGCTACGTCACCCACAGTCCTCCAGCGCAGCCTCCTACTAGAGAGCTGGGATGCTGCCTGGCTCACAGATAATCTCCTAAAGCCCGTTGGATCTCTAACACGTAAATAAAAATAATGTCTTCGGGCTGCAAACAGGCTATGATCGTTGATTAAATCCTCTCAAATAAACATCCTTGAATATTTCCCTTTTTCTTTTCTATTTTCCTTTCTATGATCCCTATTCTGAATTACGAATCATTGATGACAACCCACCACCACGCGATTCCCTGGAGGAACTGCTGTTATCCCACTTACCTTTTTAATGTTTCCTTGCAATGCCTGCAGACGACTTTCTTCTTATACAACATACTTAACTCTGAAGTGGAATTTTGTGCTAACAGGTTCAGCCTTAAAATAATGGAAAATCTACCAGGGCAAAAGTTGAGACAAGAAGGGATACAGCCAGCTAATCCATGCTCATGTAATACCTGTGTGCTCAGGATCTATAGACAGAGAACGTTTTCTGAAATAGTGTAAAATAATCTATATCCCTCAGACGGTAGCGTCAATAGAACCAAGTCCTCGCACAGAGCAAGTTCTCTGCAATCTACAATTAATTAAGCAAAGGGACAAGTGGTATCTGAAGATCTGTTGATAGGCTATCAATGCCATTATTTTATTGTAACAGAAAGTGCTTTCCCACCGTGCACCTGACCCTCTTTTTCTTCCCCTCTATAATTCCTGATTGCAAAGAATTTTTTAAAATAGGCCAAGTCATCATCGAATTTTAGTTATCTCTGGACTACATCTCAGATCCCCAAATCCTGTGTTCTACCAACCGTCCTCTGAGGTTTCGCATGGGGCTTTCATTCTTTCAAAGAAGAATGTTCTGAATGGAGCAGAAAGTCCCTGCAAGAGAGAACTTGGATTTCTCTTCCTTCCTTTTTACCTCCCTCTCTTTGTCTCTTTTTTCCTCCTGTTGATTCTCCCTTCCTCCATCCCTGTCTCCCTCCCATCCAAACTACCAAACACCTGTGCCTCTCTGGGGGGCGTGGGGTAGGGAACCTATGGGTGCACCTACCCCTGGCACCGGCTTCTCTCTCTCAAGGCTGCAAAGCACATCCAGGCTCCAGGCAGCTCAGGGTCCCCCTCGCCTTGACACTGCACACCCAGTGGAGAGGGGTCGTCTTCGCCTCTCTCAGTGCCTGGAACAGCCCCTGGCGCCCCCGGTTGCTCACACATGACGCCAACTGGGCTGAATGAAGTCTGACTTGCTGGATAGGTGCTAAGGAACCCGAACTCAGGACCGGCCAGCAGCCCTAAGGCGGTAGCCCGAGCAGCGCTCGTCGGCTGGCGAGGGCATGTGCCTGCAAGGCGGGCACGGCTTCTCTGTCCACGCGGGCTGGGCGGCGCTGGGCAACCAGCATTCAAGCCCTGACTTAGATTCACAGCAGAGGCGGGACTAGGGGCAAATCATTGACCCCTCGGAGCCTGGGTGTCTTCGCCTTCAGCTAGAGATAATAACGCTCGCTGGACAGCTGGGAGGGGCGGAGGCGTGGAGAGATGGTGAGCAGGTCTGCTCTGGGGTCTGACACAGGAAGGCACCCCTTGGGAGCTCACAGTCACGAGGCTGCCATCACCTCCACCGCTGGGCAGGAGGGTGCGGGAGTCACGACCCCAGGCCTGGCTTCTGCCGAATGAACAAAATGCCACCAGCGCATTTGGTAAGTGCCCACTTCACCTCACAGGCTCGCTGCTCTGTAGGATGCAAGAAAGAACTGAGACAGGGCTCGAACCCCCAAGGAAGGAACCATGATGTTTGAATAGATCATTTAACCCATCTCGTTACTTGCTAACAAACTAGGCCAGCTGCAGGCTCCCCGGGATGCCAGCGGAAGAAGAGGGTGAACAGGTTACTCCAGCAGCCTGCATTCCCTGGAACACTGCGTAAGAAATAACAGTCCCTGCTTGTCTTCATGGCTCACTGCCCACCAGACAGGACAAGACACACAGCTCACTTCTGTCTCTTGCAGGTTGAGAGTCCACTGCCCAGTGGTTCACCCTCACACGGACCGTCAGTCCAGCAGGAATCAACACTTGCTACAAACTCCGAATGGGTGCAACAGAGGACACCGCTCCTTGAGTGCCTACACCCTCATCCTGCCCACAGGCCTCATTCACTCAAGCACTGGTTCAATCAACATTAATTAGGCATCTTTTATATGCCAGGCAAGTGCAAGTTGCTTTGCCAAATTCCTGGGGCTCTGTAAGGTCGTTACTATCGTCCCCATTTACAGATAAGGAAACTGAGGTTCAGAGAGATTAATGATGCTTGGAGTATTCATAAGAGGCCAAGTTCAGTTCTAAAACTATGTTCATGTAAATAAGAATTGTAATGTTTACTAAAAGGAATAAAGGAGGGCCTCCCCTGGTGGCGCAGTGGTTGATCGCTGCAAAGATGCCTGTGCCTCTGCAGCGCCGGTTAGATCCCCGGCTGCCAGCGAGGGTCCCACATGGTGCACAGACCTCTCCTGCCGCGCCCACTGCTCCCCTCAGCAGTATATTTCGTCAGTCTGCCTGTTCTGTTCCCCGCTCTGGCTCTGGTGAGTCCTCTCACCTTCCCGTGCTTCTGACTGTACCCAGTGCTTGTATAAATAAATAAATCTTTTTAAAAAAGGAATAAAGGAAATAGGATGAATCTTGCAATTTTCTTTCTGTGATGAGATTTTTTTTTTAGAACTCCTAGGAGGTTCTAGGACACATTGTGAGATAGACAGGTACCCCAAAACTTACCATTCTATCGCCCCGTGCTATGGCTTGACTGGCCTCCACTGGGCATTCTCCTTGGGTCGCTCATGAGGGCAGAGTCAAGGGCAGCTGGGTTGAGTCTCGCTGAGGCTCCTCTCAGCGTATGGGGGTAGACACTGGAGTCTTCTCGGCTCTCGCTTCTCCAGCCGGGCGGCGGGTTCCCACAGAAGCATGCCCAGGGCGAGGAGCCTGGGAGGCCTCAGTGGAGGCTAAAGGCTTCTTACGGTCTAGTCCCACGTCCTTGAAAATCACCTGTTCTCTGCGCTGTCATTCACACAAGTCCCTGGCGGCAGGAAGCTGCATGGTCCCTGCAAGCACAGGCGGGACCCATGGGAGGGAGCGCAGT